TATCTTAATTTCTTACGAATTTTTACTATTCTGATTTGTGTATTTTCCATTTTAGGCCATTTTGGGGTTATAAACTTTAAATAAATTCGCGCAACCAAAGATTGAGACTTCAATTTATAACTTTATCTACTCCTTTTTTAACCTTTCCACTTTATGTCGACTTCTTATAAATGATATTTCCCCACTTTCTTGGTTTATTTGTGAGTATCTTCTTTTTTTATCCCGCCCCATTATTTTTCGATAACAAGGATTCTTCCCTCCGTCTGATCATCTAGCCGATATGCGAGAAGCAATGCAAAATCTTGTCGAGACGGTTGTAACCAGTGAGGATTGTCTGGACGACCTTCACATAGCAGGCCGTATGGCGGCGGCTGTGTGCGAGTTATGTCATGCTCTTTTTGCCATTCGGCTTGCTCCCGTCTTTACAGATGAAGGATATATGAATTCCGAGTAAATTTTCCCATTACTTCAACCATTTCAAGATAATCATTAAAATATTTTCTGTTTCTTATCACTTTCCTTTCATATTTATAAAGCTTTCTATTCATGACACTAAAAATATCCAGTAAGGTTTATGCAAATTTTACTTAGTAGACCAAACTAAGCCGTCGTCTCTGGTCTCCCTATTTTGATATGATCTGTTGGTTTTATCATCACTAACTAATTTTCAATACGTTTATGTGCCGATAAGATTAGCTTGATTTTTCAAGCAATAAAATAATTCACTTTCTTATTCACTCCAAATTTGATATTTTTTGCTGCATATTGCCGAATTTTAATTATTATTTTCACCTTGATCCCACAGTAATTTCTTTGACATTAATATGTTCATCAATCTTCACTGTCTGGCAATTTTAATTTTCGATTCTTTTTTTTAATTCCAAATTTTGGTTTTCATTTGCATGTGACAGTCTAGTGGAAGAGAGTTTGTCTCTGCCGATATTTCTTCCCTTTCTCCATTTATGCCAAATGAATTCTAACGACCCCAAGCGCGAATTGTTGCTTCTACTCCTGACTGAGATGCAAGCACACCAGCCTAGACTTGGTTATCATCTTTTGTATCTACTTAAAGTTGGGTGAGTCAACTCATTATCTGCTCGCACTTTTCTTTTACTCTTCAAATTTCACTGACTGATAGGACCTATGGGAAGAAGATTATTGAATAGTATGCTAGACTCAGATCAACATTCCCAGCACGAGGGTGGGGGTGGGGGTGGGAAAGCCAACGTGGGGTATGGAGAGATCTCGTGAATTTCGCTCAAAAGGACAATATACCATATTTAAATGAGAAATTAAGAAATTGTGATAGCTAAGATAAGATAGGTGAATAGCCCAGGACCGCAATTGTTTAGCAGACAATTGGTCAAATGATCGGCCTCACTTGTCTCT